GCAGTGCACTTTGTGTGAGAAATAAACCTACAGTGTTAAGACACTGAAAATTAGGGGTGGTTTGTTCTAGCAGCTAGCTTTAATTATCCTAACATACTCTCCAAATCTGTGACGTTGCAATCTAATTAGAGGTTTTGCCTAAAAGGAATCTCCCTGTCTCTCTCTGTCTGGCGGTGCGGGGGTTGGGGGTGGGGGCGGGGGTTGTGACAGAGAGGATTAGTCTACTCATTGTTTTGTGATTAGGAGGATGGTTCTGAAAAAGGTCTTATCAAGATTTCCTTTTATTTTGTTACACAAAGGGAGTCTGATGTGGACAATCTTCTGGTTATTGATGGTTCAAGATGCCACAGTTACTGCTGAGTCCTAATTATGAGGCGTTTTGGAACAAAAGAATGTTCAGTGATCGCTAATCTAGGTAAAATGAGCTAAGCAGTGAACTCGCTTTCAGAAACTGTCCAATTCTTCCGCATTTTGAGGTGAACTTGTTAATGGGGGAAGGTGGGAGAGGAATCATGGATTATACCCAGTAACAGCTATCAGAGTTATTAACTGATAAGGTTTGTTTTTGATAGCAGGAAAAATATGGAAGACAAAAGCAAGTTTTTTATTTAGCTGTATCTCTTTGCAAATATTACAATATTGTATTTAAGCTAGCATTCTATAGGAAGATAATTGAGAATCATTGATGTAGAAACACATCAGCAACAGTAAGAAAAACCATTATTACAGTACAAATTGGATTGTGGGACAATGCTGGTCTGGAGCTACAGGCTATGACGCTGGCCAATCAGAAAATTATAGCAAATGCTTAATTAGCAGGAATCCATAACAGCTGTACAGCCTCGTGGAATTAGCACTCCTAGGATTTTATTATACTTTGCCACCTAAATTACTTTCATTTAGGAGCCTGAATTCAAATTGGTTCTGTAAACAAGATGATGAACGTGGCTGTAGTATGAGAAAAATTAGCTTGTGGAAATTGAAATTTTTTTTTGTAGATACTAACAAAATGTAAGGGGTACATAGATCTTTATCTAGCAATTAAGCACCTAGGAATCTATTCAGAGAAATTTTAGAAGTGTGCAAACAAAAGTTATTTTTCATAGAAAAATGGGAACATCTAAAGTTCATCAGTTGAAAACTGATCAAATTAATTATGGCAAATCTATACTACAGAATGCTATGTACCTCTTGCAAAGAATGAACAGATGTTTATGTGCTGAGATGGAAAGAAGTCCTCAATAAAAGGACAGACATTGAAGATACATATGTACTGAATATACACAAGTCTGACCCTGTTCTGTTTTTGAAATTGATAGGTTTTGCAGAAAATAAGGACTGGGAAGTTAAAGACCAGTTAATGAGTTAATTCTAAGGTGAGAATTTTCTGTTAATTTATACCTTTCGTATCCTTAGTTGACTGAATGTGAATTACCTTCATAATTAACATCTTCATGTACCCTACCCTCTGGCCAAAGACTCGCCACTCTAAATCTTTTTTCATTCCTTACCTCCATGCCTATGCTCTAAGATCACTTCCCTACAGAACATCTTCCCCAAATGTCATTTTGGTTTAAAGGCGATCTCTTCCAAGCAATTAATCTCACTGCTTTCATTCTAGAGAATTCTCATTTATCTAAACACCTCTTACCCTTGAAGTCTTACAGGCATTTATAATCAGTTCAGTTTGCATCCTAGTGTCTTAGCTACCTATGTTAGGTTTTATGTTGCCCACTTATTAGGTAGTAGGTAGTAGGATTCTTGTGGAAAGAAAGCAAGACATTCATCTTTGTGCCCCTGCAATGCTCAACAAATGTTTGCTGAATTAATGGGGCATTGTTTGTAATTCAGTGTCCATGCTGCTAATGATTTAGAAAGCAACCAAATGATTCACCACCTTACTTTCAAAATTTTATTTATATAGAATCTTCAGAATGTTTCCCTTTAAATTTTACAAGCTAAAACCCCAAAGCTCAAAATGATATATTTTATGTCACAGTACATAAAATAAGTACAAGGAGGAGAGTTCAATCATTTTGAAGAAAAGCTTTAATAATTGTACAAACATTAATATTTACAATATTCTTTATTGCAGATATAGACAACATGGCATATTTAAAAGCACAAAATAGTTGAAATCATTATATCTTATTACAGAACATTCCAAAATTCAAACTAATAAAGAAATCCATAAACACTGATAACATTTGGGGAAAACAAGAGCAACAGGTTTACCAATCATCATAGTAAACTTATATATAATACACAATTTACACATCAAATCCACAAATTCAAAGATATATATGACCTATCTATTTAAATCATGCTACAATCTAAATACTATTTTATAATCCATAGGTTGAAACAAATGTTCTGTGGTAACCTATGAAACAGGAATACAAACTATAAAATCATAATTAACATACTTCTTAATTCCTAAGAGAGTACCCCAGGAAACCTCAAAGACGGCAGATCAGGCATTTTTTGCTGAAATTAAAGTTCTTATGAATATATTCATAAATATAGTCAAAGGTATAAAAATAAAACAACCCAGATACCATGAGTTCATTTTACCTGTTCAAATTTAGTTTGGTATAGAGCCCCTGGCATAATCACAGGTTCTCTGGGATATTCTGACTTTCTCCTGACTTAGGGGAGATGACATATTTATTCTTTGCCTTGTTCCAGAAAGGATTTAAGGTAGCTTAGATTTAGAAAATACCAGAAAGCACAAATTATAGGTTAAATGAAAAAACAAGAGTTTGGGGGAACAGCACACATAAAACCATTTAAGAAAAGGTCAGGAATCAAGCTAAAGTATATTACATTATTCTCCGCAGTGATTTTCTGGAAATATTGCAAAATGTGGTATTAATTTATAAGAAAACTATTAAACCACTGGTAAATTGGAGATGCAGATCAAATTTCTTTGTTAAATTTTGTATTAACCCTGATGAAACAGATGATGTTACAAATGTATGTGCTTTTCTCTTCGTGCTTGTGAGAAAAAAGTTTTCCTAAATGTCATAATCTGTGACTCTATAGATTTAGTGCCTAGCTCTGGGTAGAGAAGAGTGTAGGTAAAAAAAAAAAAAAAACCCCACAACATTTGGGTACCCTGACTTAATTTCTACTGAGAAACCCACCAACTGGATGCTTGTTGATGACCTGAGGATGGCAGCTACCTTCCGGGTGGCCAGGTGTCCTATGGCTCTTTTGTAGGGACAGAACAAAGCATCAGTTCTAGGGCCTCCTGACTGCATCAGTTCCTCCAGGTCCTCCAGCTCACTTCATTAGGACCCAGCAAGACAAAGAAGAAGGTAAACTGAAGAGCAGGAAGCCCACTCAGGTTGGCATGCTGAGACCACAGCCTCCTCTGCTGCCCAGATGGTCTGCACGTCACAGCCCTTGCCCCAGTCCTTTGGGGGAGGAAAGTTATGGAGAGAGGGCTGGGGCAGCATTAGTCAGCTTCTGGGAAATATGAATGGGTTTGTTCAACTCTATTCTTCAGGCCCTGCTTTCAACACATGACAATGAAGGATCTTGTACCTATACACTGTCAGGTAAGAAGTGAGGGAGTGAGGATGAAAATAAAGGGCTTGAGGGAAATGCAGGAAGAAAAGACGGCGGGACATGTGGCATGAGTTTCAAAACTATTGATTAAGAATAGAATAAAATATCTACCTGAAAACTGAAGTTAGCCACAGCGGCCTATCGTTCTTTGGGGGATGAATGGTCCCAAGTAACACTCCTGAATTTTGGTCACATCAGTAAAGAACAAAGTTCAAGTCTATGGATCTAAAGCTGCAGGTACTGCAATGTTCTTGGCTGTGTGGCAAAGCTCCTCTAGGGTTTGTGAGGTGGGCTTATAGGGGAGAGGGTAGTGACTGCCATTTTCCCAATAGCACCCTTCATAGTATAGGCAGGGCCAACTTATCTATTAGGCACCAGGTCTCAGGCCCATAATACATTTAGAGGCCCCCCAAAATGTTTTAATTTCTTTTAAATTCATAAGAAAAAAACCAAACTTTTAGATTTAAGGATGTGTTTATATATAAAATTCATTTTATACAAATGCAACTGTAACATTATTTTCTAATTTTTTATGGAAGAAGAGGCCTAAGAAGGCAAAAGTGTCTAAGGCCTATGAAAGTCATAAAGCTGCTTTGAGGGCCAATGGTTCAAGGCTAAAATTACAGAGGGGTAAGGAGAGTCTGATCTTGTGGGTCTTATTCCACTGATTTTTCTTTTTTTGAATGTTACTTTGGGATTAGATTTTTAAGAGTGCTAGGTCAAATACAAGTGAAGTATTTGTGTCAATTTCCACCAGGCAAGCTGGAAAAGGAAAATAAATTCAGCTCATTATTTTATTGTCACTGTGCAAAAGAAAGAACCAAATCAGGATGAAGAGACTTGGATGTTTTCAAGTCCCATCTTCACTCTGTAAACATTACTAGAGGTAGGTTTCCCTCTGAGACCCTGCCTCCTAAACTTCCTGCATTACACTGCCACCCTCAGCCCTAGACTTCCTCTGTGCTTCTCAAGGCCTGGCTCCTACTGCCCTCAGCAGGCCAAGGTTGGCAGTGACATGAATGTGGGCACCTGTAGTTACAAAAATGTTTTAAGAATATGATGAGAAAAAAAAAAAAAACAATGAATGAGGAAGGAGGGGAGGAAGATATCAGATTTTAATGTAAAATTACATGATGCAAAAAAAAAAAAATGGGGAAAGATTTATACCAAAATGTTAACTGTGCTCTCTGCTTTTTAAAAAATATTTTCTCATAAATGTATTCTATCATGAGAAAAAAAAGTATTATTTTAAAAACTGTTCTCTCAAAGCTCTAAACTCTGAATATTACCACCTTTGAGAGCTCCTCACAGTATGGCTTAGGTTACTAAATGTGGTGAACCACTAGCATGCAGAGGACCCAGACTGAGAACAGAACTTTTAACAATTTCCACTATTTTCCAACCCCAATTCATCAATATTACTGGGAAATGTCAATCAAGAAAGCTAACTAATACCACTTTCTAGGATCTGTTCCTGATACAACGAAGAAAGTTATGTCAAAAGGAGGGGTAGAAAGGAACAAATCACTACCCTTTTACAGAATCACAGACTTTCTGCCCTTGAATTATAGGTGAAGATTCTGAGGTCCAGAAGTTTATGTGATCTTACCACTGCCACACAACAAAGCTGGTAAAAGAATTAGGGTAAGAACTCAGGTTTCCTGATTCTTGGTCTATAGCTCTAATAAGCCCAGTCCCAAAAGTAACTGCTTTGTAAGTTATGTTTCACCGTTTATCCTAAATACATATAGAAAAATGGAAAATACTACCATTTTTCTTTAAAAACATTCATTAATTTGGGAACTGTAACATCTCAAAATACAAGCTGCAGGTGGGTAAGTCCAACAATCAGAGTGAATCATAAGATTTTAGACCTGAAAGGATGCAGGGTAGATAATTTAGACCTCGGTTACACATGAATTTAGGCCCAGAGAAGGTAAACTATATCCCTCAAATCACAAGGTTGAGTCAAGACCCAGGTCATCTAAAACTGGCTCACTGCTCCTTCCAATACTGACTGATTTTCCTTGGATGTTCATTAAACCAAAAAAGGTAAAAATACAGAATCATATGCAGATTAGAAGTAATAAAACTGATATTAATAAGAATGCTTGGGAAAAGGACATAAGTCAATTCTTTAGTTAACAGAATTAAACTAAAATCTATCAGAATAAATCAGGCAGCATCACTACTAACTTTCATTTGAAAACAAATTTAAATGTAAATCACAATTTTTAGTTTTATTGTTGTTTGAAGATGATGCAAGACCTTTCAATGTCTCAGGCTCATGCATTTGAAAATAAATTCTAAATGTTTGCAATTCTCTGGAGCAGGGTTTGGAAGATAATGGCCAGCAACCTGTTTTCTGTGAGGCTCATGAGCTAAGAATGGTTTTATGTTTTTAAAGCGCTGTTAAAAAACATAAAGAAGAATGTCTGATAGAGATGGTGTGTAGCCTGCAAAGCCTAAGTTACTGACTAATTGCCCCTTTACATAAAAAGTCCACTGATCCCTGTTCTGGATTCAGCAAGTATATGAAACGGGGCAGAATACATAATATGTCCTGGAAGGATTTTTTGTTTTTAAAATTAAGTCTGATTTATTTAAGCTTTATTGTAATCTGCCTCTTTTTCCTCATAGCAGGTAGTAGGGAAAAAAAAAAAAAGTCTAGTTTAAGAGTTATGATTACCTGTGTTCTAGTTAACCGAGCCTTTATCACACAAATGAACATAAGTGGACCTATAGTTGAAGCTTATTATGTTATGTATCTGAAATCCATACAAAATGTTTCAGCTGAGAAAATGGCATATCCTATAGTAGTGTTGTTATACAATAAAATGGAAGCAAATATCTGTAATTAAAAAACTGGTAATTTGATTCTCTCCTTTAGATCTCCTGTCTTGAAGATTTTTCTCCTGATGCCTCCCCTGTCCTCCCACAGCATGTCCTTAGATTCATTAAACCAGCACTTCTGAACCATGTTAATTATGCTGTGACCACCCACCCGTATCTCATTTGCAACCATAAACAAGCCTCACCAAAACACATGAAAAGAATGGAAGTGCTCCTCACGAGACAGGAGATAGCAAAACTGGAATGACTAGTTCAGGGGGAAATAAAAATCTGAGTCACAGTGCACTTATCAATCTGAAGACAGCAGGGAGGCTGCCCTTCAGTCCACACCCTGCTGACCAGGCCGAGGAGGACTAAGCGCCACATATGAAAACAAGTCCCAGTCCATATCTCTTTCTTGTCACATGGTTTATGTGGCAAAACTTGGATTTCGTGAACTAGCACACACACACAAAAAATCAAAGCTGTACCACTATTAACTAAATTACAATAATTTCAAGGCTATAACTCTGAAAGTACGGTCTACTGTGTCGCGGTTAAGACGTCTTACTTTAAAATAGTCACGTTAACAGCGCCTTTGGCTCCACAGCACACTTCTCTTCGGCCACTCCATTCTCTGGCTGGCTTTTGTAATTGGAAAGGAATAAATTTTCTATTTGAGTCAAGAATTCTTCAGCAATGAAGCAATTGGCCACTTTGCTCAGAGTTTTCCTCAGACACTCCAAAAGCTAGTTGAAAAGGAAAGTTTTATATTTAAACACAAAAAGTGGTGAGAAGAGGGTTTGCATCACTATCACTATTTTATCCCTTTCCAAATCTCCCATTTTCTAATGCTTAAACGAGAAACATTCTCCTTAAAGGTGATTGAGGATAGACATGTGTTTCATAACTGTACAGCTGAAGTGCAGGAAGCCATTGCTGAGGAATGCTTAGCAAAGCTTGTCCTGAGCCCAGCTCAACAGAAGCAGCACATTCTTCAGTCTGCTACAAATTGTTTGTGGAACTTCTATGGGTTCCCAGGACCCCAGGCGCCTCCCAACTGCTGTCCATGTCCTCATCTGCCCTCACCCCACCCCCATCCTGGGGCAGCGCCTCTCCCCACAGCGGCCTTAAATCTAGGTATGTTAGTCCAGCACCTCCTTAGTGAGTAATTCTTTGAGACTGGGGGGTGGTGTGGGCATCAGGCCTGCCTCTTGCAGGGCCTGGAGCCGGGCCTCTGACTGGCATTTGTCCAGGCCCAGGTGCCAGGAGAGCTGCACTGTGGCCTCCAGAAAGGGTACCAGAAAAGGGTGAGGGCTCTTGTCCCCCAGCAGCTGTAGGGCCTTCTCACAGCGTGCCCAGGACTCCCCAGGGTCCTCCAGCTCCTGGTGGCACACAGCCAGCCCCACCAGGGTCAGCAGAGGGCAGTCTGGGCCCGAGGGGACACCCAGCTGGGCCTGCAGCTGCCAGGCGTTGGCCCAGAGTGCCAGGGACTCGCAGTAGAGGCCAGAGGAGGTGAGGTGCAGTTCCTTTCTGATTTTATATAAGGAGATAAAACTGAAATTGCATGTATGATGCTTTCTACTTTGGACAAACTTGTGACTTTGCTTCTGTTTTTAGTAGTTTTATTTACAAAGCCATGCATCCTATGGGATAAAAATCTATGGACATAAAAATACAGGATTCTACCATTTCAAAAATAGGATGATGGAGTCTATCATCCTAGTCTATGTGCATATTAATCTTCCAACAGAGCAAAGAAAAAGTGGCTGTAATAGGAGGGGGTAAAAAATATTAAAAAGAGGGACTTCCCTGGTGGCACAGTGGTTAAGAATCCGCCTGCCAATGCAGGGGACATGGGTTCGATCCCTGGTCCCAGGAGATCCCACGAACAACTAAGCCTGAGAGCCACAACTACTGAGCCCGCGTGCCACACTACTGAAGGCTGCATGCTCTAGGGCCCGCATGCTGCAACCACTGAAGCCCGCCCACCTAGAGCCCGTGCTCCACGGCAAGAGAAGCCACTGCAATAAGAAGCCCGTGCACTGCAGTAAGAGTAGCCCCGGCTCGCTGCAACCAGAGAAAGCCCACGTGCAGCAATGAAGACCCAACGCAGCCAAAAAAAAAAAAAAAAAAAAATTAAAAAGAAATTTAAAAATTTTCTATTCCCAAACTGTTACCAAAGGAAAAAAAGACCAATGTTGCCAATCTTACTGAAATTCATTATACTCACAGAAACAAAACTAGAAGTGAAATAAAATAATTCAAGACTCTTTTTTCCTACCAGAAAGTTAAGTAAAATGACCATTTAAATTGAATTGTTAGATATATACTACCGTTTTTACAAATGATCAATTGTTAAAGCTAAATGGAAACATGGCACTTTTGAATTTAATAAAATAAGAAAAATGTTCTCCATTGTGTACAATAATAATGTGCTAAGAAATTTATCAGACAACATGGACAAATTTTTTCTAAAACAGCATTATTTCTATATGCAAGCATGGGTGCCAAAACATATTACTAATTATCTCCTAGAAATTAATTTTAGAAAGGAAAAAGCAATAAAGGAAATACACAGAAAAGCGTATCCACAAAGCATTAGGCATCATGGGAAAACACATCAAGATGAATAGCTTTAGAATCTGTGAGCAATGAAACCAATTAAAGTGAAGGCAGCTTACTTTCTGCAAACAAGTCAGGTCAGAATCCCGGCGAAAGATTTTATCCATGGGGACACTGCTGTTGGAAGAAATATGAAAACCAACCAATGAAACAAATACTATAAACGAATCAGTTTTGTAATAAACTATCACTGATGCCATACATCACAATTTTATATTTAACTTGGGTTTTCCCTAAAATGTGATTTAATGAGAAACACTGCAGATGTGCAACCATCTCAAACCACAGTACATACCTCCGGGATAGCCTGTATTTTTCTATTATCCATTTTGTCTTTTCAAGCACTAATCCCCACCGAGGTTCTTCTAACATCTGTTGTACTTCAAATTTATAAGGTAAACCTAGAAAAGCATAAAGCAGCACATTTTTACATTTTACATTTTCTGAAATCTCCAATCTCCTTTTAATTACTTAAAATTCCCTTCCGTGTTTTCATAACCGCAGCTTGGCAGACCAGCTAAACAGCACGTTAAACATAGTGGGCATTCATTAAATATGCACTGCCTGGCTGAACTTGGTTCATCAAGTATATTAATGCCAAGCAATTAATAAAGAAAAGTAAAAGTGCCATTTGCACGACAATTCTATACAAGGAACTGTGACAGGTAAGATGATCACATAATTTATCATCCAAACCAAGACACTTTCGGAGTGAAAGCTGGCACTATTAATAATTGTGCCAGAACCACAGGCTTAAATTGGGACTGACCTAGGCAAACCAAGATATATTCCATCCCAGTGATTTTTTTTTTTTTAAACACATGTTATCAAGCTTACAGCACTGCTATAAGGTAGGTAGCATTATTCCTATTTAACAGATAAAACTGAGGCTGAGACAGGTTGAATAAGCTCTTTCCACTAGTAAAGCAAAGAGCTTGGATTTCAAATCCCACCAGGCTTGCCCGACTTCTGAGCCCACATTCATTCCACCTCCCTCTACACGCTGATCTAAGACTAGACAGGGGCTAGGTTTAATTCTGGAGAGGCAGTAACTGCACTTGAGTCATGCTAAACTCTGGAGGAAACAAGTCCAAGGGGTAGACATCATGTACGTAAGTCAGAAAGGAAAAAATACCAAAAGATGAGCCTACTTAGACATTTCTCACATATCTTTCAAAATCTCCATGTAATTGTATTTGCAGTATATTAAAGGCTCAGCTGATTCATTACCAAAGGCCAATACCATAATAATAATAACACTTATATAATGCTTACTATGTGCCAGGCTTTATGCTTTTTATATAGATGTAAGGCCAGTTACATAAACTAGCTACCAGTGTTGTCCCCAATGTTTTTTTTTTTTTTGACGAGGACACTGAGCCACAGAAAGGTTAGTTATTAAATAACCTGTTCTTGGACATATCTAATTAGTAAGAGGTAGAGCCAGGATTTGAACCCAGGCAGTCTGGCTCGAGTTTATGTTCTTAATGTTTACATTATACTGCCTATCAACTTGCATTTTTGCCATCGTAGGCTTTTCGAGTAAACAAAATGTCAGCAAATCAGAAGGTATTAGGGAAGGTATTAAGAAAAAAATCATAATTCTACTTCCACACAATACAAGCATAACTTGTCAATGTGCCCTAAAAAGGCTTTTTTCTCCCCATTTTTTTTCAGGTGTATGGAAGGAGAGAAAGGAACAGCAAGCCTGATGATAACTGACCTTTTTTCATTTCTCAATTCTCTTCCATTTCATTTTCCCCCTCCAGGAACTTAAGAAGAGTGACACATTATAGTACATAAGCTATTACACAAACTCCGTCTGTGATAACAATCATTTACTTGATATGTTTTGATTACCTACTAAGCACAGACAATAGCTATGATCATAACTACCTATTTTAGACCTATTATTTACTAAGCACTGTACATACATTACCGACAGCCTCTACAACCTCCTGTAAGCAAGTTAATAATATTTTCTCATTTTACAGATTTGGCAAATGAGAATGAGACGGATTAAGTAACCTGCCCAAGGTAAAATAACTAATAAATATCAGAGTTGGGATCTGAATCCAGGTAAGCAACTCCTACTCTTAATGAAAGTAAAAAATGAGACTAAAAGAGAGGTAAATAAACAAATACATTTTCAGTCTGTGCTCATAAAAAAAACATGAAAATACACACACACACACAACACGTCATACATCTCTATTTGGTATTAAGAACATCTTCTAAGTTAAAAAAACGGCACTAAAACCAGTAAAAAATTTCTTTTTGTACTGATTATTTTTTGATATGCTTATTATTTTTTTAATTGAGGTATAGTTAATTTACAATGTTGTGTTATTTTCAAGTGTATAGCAAAGTGATTCAATTATACATATATGTACTGATTGTTTTTATTCACTAAAGTGTCAGAATAAAACGAATCACTAAGTATATTTCTGGCCTATTACAAATAGAGAAAATGATTAACCATTAGACATACTGTAAAGATAGGACTTGGGTACACACCTACTAGAGGGGGGAAAAAAAAGAATGAATCAATGAATGAACAAATAAATAAGTAAAGGATCCAGTTCAAAGTACTGTAACATAAGGTATCCCAGGGCTTCTAGGAAATTTTAATTCTTGAACCAGAAGGTTTCCAAGAAGAACAAAGAGAAGAACCGAGGATTAAGACCTAACAAGCAGTGTTAACAATGGTTAAGTCATGTAAGAGGCAGCTCTGCCCAAGAGAACTTTCTGCAATGATGATAACGTGGAATACTTGTGTGTTGTGACAGTAGCTTATGTGAGAATCCAGCACTGTGCCCGCTAATCTTTCAGGTGATTCTTTCCCATTTGGGGTAGTCTGTTCACACACAGGCATCGGTCTTTATCTTGCTAAATAATAAATTTGAACCTTCTACAAATCTTTGGAGTCTGCTCTCTAGGCAGCTTTCTGCTCTCTGGTACAATGTCTTGCAAATTTAGTTGCCCTGGTCTCCTTGCTCTTACCTCCATCACCTCAACTCAGGGTCTGCTAGGCTCTGGATGGGTTTCCGCCTTGTGCCACACCTGGAAGTTCTTTTAAGTCAATAAGCTAGGTTAACTTGGGCTCACTTTGTTTCCCATCTCTCAGGAATCATATTCTTTCACTGTCTGATGTTATATCCTAAATACCACTGTTCTCTATATTTTGTCCAGTTTTTTGGTTGTTTCAGACAGGTCCTTGTTACTTCATTTTGGCCAGCAGTAGGATTCTAGGAACTGAATTTTAAACTTCATTTAATTCTAATTAATTTAAACAGTCACACATAGCCACATGTGACTGTATTAGACAGCATCAGAGTAGAGGCTCACTCCCCAAATCTAGCAGAATGTGACAGTAAGACACGGTTTAAATTGAGAACAAGTTCATTGTGATTCTTCCTTTTGTTAACTTTTTGTAAAATTATACTGGCGTAAAGAATGATGTATACATGTGATATGTTCAAAATGGGCATTTTGGACTAAAGTTAATGTCAATACTATTCATTCAACAAAAACCTATAGAGCACTGACCACTCCTTAGGTGTAAGGCAACTGATTAGGTACTACAGGAGATACAAAGAAGACATAGTTCCTGCTCTTTGGGGCTCACAATTTAGTGAGACAGGCTAAATAAATAAATTATATTAAAACACGAAAGCAACCACAAAGGCAGGAAACAAATGTTGCAGGTGCACGAAGCATAGAGCAACTAATAGTAAATGACATGAGGGGTGGCAGTGCTGGGGTCTTTACCAAAGAGGGTATTTTTGTGACATTATTAAGAGAGGGTATCTGAGTGACATTATTAAGAATGAAGAAATTAATTTGTTAAACATTCATTTAGTACCTACTTTATGCTGGGCCCTGTGCTAGAAACTGAGAATAGAAAAATGAGTACAATATCATATCTACCTTCAAGGGGCTCATGAGCTAATGGGGAAGAGTAAAATGTAGAGTGACAGTATCCAGAGAGGACAGTCAACTAGAGCAGTGGTATTAAGGACGAAAAGAGAGTATCCTAGAGACGTAATTGTTTCCTCTAATCTTTTCCTTCCATCCACACTCGCTTCTTACACTCCCCTACTTTTCCTAGTCTGCTACACTAATTCTCTATCCAGCCAGTTGACTGAATAGCAGTGGACATAAATCCCAAAGGAACCAAGTCATATGATGGGCTAAACCAACCAAATTCTTTCTTGAGAGAGACAGATATAAAAATAGTTAGGCACTGTTGAGCCTAAACTGGGAGATCATGGATATCTAGTGGTAGGGTGGTCATTATTCTTCATTATTATTATTTTTTCATTTGAATGTCATTGCAGAGAAAGCCAATCTGCATTTATCAAGAATTTTCAAGAGAACAGAAGAGACTTTGTCTGTTTTGCTTACTGCAATGTCTCCAGGACCTAATACACACACACTGCTTGGCCATAAGCTTTCTCTACATTGTAATGTTTTTGCCCAGTGGCCATGGTAACACAGTGGGAACTTTAATGCAGAAGGAAATCATAAAAGGAAAGAGGGTGGCTGCACTACATGGTATGCAAACAGTGATTCCCTAGTTGAGGACAAAAACTTTTCCATCAAATTGCTTTCAACAGGTATAAATTCTGTGATTTGTAAGATTCAAAAAAAAAATGAAAGTAGAAGTAGGATTGTTTTTGTAGAAAACTTACGATAAGAGCCATCTGGGCTAATTTCATCACTTATAACCAGGCAGGTAATCTGAGAATAAGGTAAAGGATTATTTCTATTATAAGGACTAACAATCATTCCAATGAACTTTGCACCGCCTCTGGAGAAGTAACTCTACAATTTAAAAAAAAGTATAATTAGTTTCAACCACATAAATTTAAAACTCAGTATTTACCCACACCAACATTTTAAACATCCAACAGAGGAAAACGGAATGCAAAAGTACTTCACTTCCAAACAGCAACTAAATTTATTCCATACCCTAAAATCTTCAGGCCAAAACATGTCCAACCCAACCTGAACAGATTCTTTTTTTAAAGATCACCCTTAAAAAGATCACCTGGCCTGCAAAATCTATATTTGCCATGAATGCATTTACAAATTATATTCACTAGCCCCTCAGCTGTAATCTTTATCTATATGGTAATAATTTACAAACAGCTGCCTACAGCAGAAACATCCAGATATCAAACATAAAATTGCAGAATAAAACAAAACTCTGTTTTTTCCAGAGGTGCAAAATATATTATATTTCCAATTATTTCAATTGTACCCAGTCCCTGTCTTAGTTATCTCCTTCATTTTTAAAGGCTCTGGGGGGAATTATCACTGTTACTTTGATGTCTTGTTTATATTAAACAGAATAGCTAATTTTCTAAGTGTTTAAATAAACATGTATTACTCTTGTAATCACTTTGCTAGAAATGTTAAACGTGTATTTATTTAACAGAAAACAACGAGAGGGGAGAAAATATGCAATCATTTACAGACTACATACAAAAAGACCTATAAACACACCTGGTATTTGGCTTGAGTGTCAATATCTCGTAAGGAAGGATTAGGATCAAAGGCAGGATGAGAATGATACCATCCAATAACACTATAGCCCCTGACAGCCAAGGTTTCCGAGGCTTGTGTTTGTGAGACGGGATCCATCTCACACTGTAGTCCTGTACTCAGACTGTTACACGGTTCTGCTGCACAGACCTATAAAGGATTAATCCTTAAATGATTATACTGAAATCTTGTTAATTCTACTGTTTCAGTCCTTTCATACACAGATACAGAAACTTTTAAAAGCCAAGCCTTTTATCTGCCTATATAATAGGCAGCCTTTAACTTGCAAACGAATTACTCTCCAAAAGTGTGATTGTATGCAAGGAACTCAAAATCCATTTTCCTACTCAAGACAAGTTACGGGTTAGTCTCCCAGGTCGGCCTGTATAGTATCTGTTTAAACACAGTCTTTTGATGACCCCTATTACTTATGATAATAATTTCTAGCAAAATGATGTATACCAAGTTTCAATTATAAGGTTATCGCATGCTTCCTGGTCTCTGGCCTCTTAGGAGTTGAAGCTTTTAATTGGCAAAGGCAATGAAGAACTGAGGCCTGGTAATGTTCCCTCTTTCTCAGTGGTAAAAGGAAACAGGTGCTCAATATATGGAATGTTCAGTCACCTCTGGGAATATATAACTGTCCACATTTGCATATTCTCATTTATATCACAGATAAGGTTTATATGTTAATTATACACACTGAAATCTATAAAAATATTTGGTATGGCAGCAGGGCTAAATAATTTTAAAAATTTTAAGAGAAAACTTACCTCAACTATCTTATCAACTTCTGAGTATCTTCCTCCTAACAGACCAATCACTTCTGCCATAGAAACATGAGCATGCTAAAAGAAATACAAGATAAGACTTAGCCCAAACATACAAACCAAACCCACCTGACCAAAAAATCAGAATAAATCTCACTTATCATAGAAGAGTCATTTACAAGTACGGTAATTATGCTTCTCTAAAATGAAATAGCATAGTAGAGGAACCAGATGCTAGGCTCAGCACACAGAGACTTAAGATTTTAGACCTATCTGTACTGCCAGCTGAGAGGCTTTGAACCAAACATTGAAACACTCCAAGATGCCAGTTTTTTCATTTACAAAATGAAGATACCATTTGCTCCGCCTACTGGGAAAGGTATCATAAGGATACAAAGTAAAAATCACTCTGGGTCCTCCTATAGAAAACACCATAAACACACACAACCATTGGAGATCTCTGTAGTTTAGTGCAAAACAAGGAGTCTCCAAATTATAAGAGTTGTGCTTTGTTGCAGTTATCTAGAAGGCAGCAGACAAGAATACTAGGAAATTAAAATCGGGTTAATGATGATAAACAGTCTGCAAAAACTCACATTAATTTATTTTCTCTAAAATATGGAAACATGCAATTGTTTGGCTTTTCTCCAAAAGAAAAGACTTATTTTTTAGATTCCTTGTAAAGGAGGATAGTTAAGATCCAAAATACACGTCTTCCATACTCTCTCTTATGCCTGCAATAAAAATACACAAGAATAGAAATCAGAATAACTAAGTAAACACAATATAATATCCTTACCAAATCCATTATTAAAAGTGCTTCTGAAGCCACTTTCACCTGAAATGGCTCCTGAAATATAAAAAAAAAAAAAAAAAAAGGGGGAGCATAAAAATAGAGATTTTGTTCTTCCTATCGGAATGCCCACCCTTTTCTCCTTTATCTATCACACCAAGTTCTCACCACCAACCAAGGCTCAGCACAAATCAGACTTTTAAAGAAATACATGTACAATTCAAAGCCCTAGCATGCAGAAATTCTTTTCTCATTTTCCATCTGTATCACTCATCTGACCTTCAGTGTACCCTGCCTTATCCAACCTTTCTTATACACATGCCTTGCACACACAGAGAAAGAAGAAATATTTCATGTCTGAGAGGAGGGTATTATTTACGGTCATTCAGTGATGAATAAGTAGTACCTGCTTTTCTTCACTGAAAAAATTACAAGGTATCAGTTGGAAGGGATCGAATGAGCTGGAAAAGGAAAAAGAAAAAAAAAAATCATTCCTAATATAATTTCAATAACATAATCAGGAAAATAACATTCATTTACAAATTTGAAAATGTGTACCAATAATCTAAACCTAAATTCTGTCTAAGTGAAAAAAATATTAAACTAGGAGAACTTCTTGTGATACAACCCTTTTGAAAGAAGCACTTTTCTTTCGGACTTGATTAAATATTTGGGGAACAACATAACCTTTGGGAAAAAGTAGTTTTGTTGTCTTAATTTCTTTTAACACCCAACGAGGAGAACATTATAAATGGCCAGACATGTGTCCTACACTGAAAGTAGGTTTCAAAAGTTCAATGAAAACCTAAACCTGACATAAGATAGGAAACAAAGTTCAAGAAAGATGGAAGTTTCTCAGAAACACCTCTGTCAGTACAATGTGTTCAGCAGAGTAGGGACTCAGTAAGTATTTGTTGAATGAATAAATGACAAACAGTTCTGTTAAAGAAATTAATGGATATCAAAAGTTCTACGATAAACTCATCTTTTAAAATGAAAAAGTATAAAAGATGGAAAGAGGGACGCCTAAGCAAGGCTAGATACAAAAGCATGTGCAAATTTGAGAGAAATATTAGAAAGGCTTTGGCCAATAAAGAATTGAGGTTTGAGAAAAATATTTAAAGTGTTTTTAGGCTACAGTCAGAGAAAACAAACAGCGAATATGTTCATTTTAACAACTGGAAAAGAGCAGAACTATTTAGTTCCTATTCTACCAGACACTTAGTGCTAGGAGATCAGACACTTTGTTTTGCTGAATACTGTATTGCAAGTACCTAGAACAGTGCTTGACACACAGTAGGCATCCAAAAAGTGTTTGCTGAATGAGGAAGATCTTCAAGTTAGAAAGTGCTTAGTCAATGCAAATAAAAAGAAATGAAAGGTCAAGATAGATGAGAAAATAGAAAGAAAGCATATGCATCCCAGAGCACTTTGAAGAACCATCATGTGAAACCACCATCAACCCTTTTTGAGGAACCACAGAGAATGAAAAAATTATTGGAGGACTAGGAATAGGCAATTATTGGGTCTGTTTTCAAAACACAAAAAAAGAAGCAGAGGAATTAAATGTTGAGTATCAGGAAAATTCTAGAAAAGGTTATTGAACAGCTGATTTGTGAGCCTTTAGCCAAGTGAAGAGGTGACTACTAAGAACAATAATGGGTTCATGAAAATATGTCATGACAGGTACGCCTAAATTTCATTTTTGATAGGAATGATCTGCTAGAAACTAGCAGACTCATAAAGACTCAAATATACTGTTACTAAATGTAAGCAAGACATCTGCTATGATTATTCTTCTGCATAAGATGAAGAAATAGAGTTAATTGTGGTAATATATAGCTCATTGAACAATGATGTCTGAGGTTTACATTTATCTCAGTTAAACATTTTAATCAGTGATCAATGATAGAAAAGGCAAGCTTATTGAAATGTTGATTCAAAGCTACGAAGAAAAGTGGATCTGGATTCAAAAAGGTCCTCACAAACTGGAAGAATGACTTGAAATTACAGTAAGTATGTCTCACATTTAGATCCAGAAAATCAAATGTGTGGACACTAGATGAGGAGTCCTAGCTTATGGACAACTGTATTTTCTTACATAGTTAATCTCATTTAATTTATTCTCACAATTCTAAGTTTTGATTTTAATTTTAGAGAGGTGATATATAATGTAATGGTTAGGAGTATGGATTCTTAAGCCTTAATGCCTGGGTTAAATCACAACACCACCATTAACAAGCATGGGCAAGTCACACAACCTCTTTGTGCCTCTCAGTTTCCTCATCTATAAAATGGGAATGATTACATTAACTACTTCATAGGGTTGTTATGAGGATTAAATGAGTTAATATATATGAAGTGCTTAAAACATAGCCAACAGTGTTAGCTATTATAGATATTATTTTATAAATGAGGACCCAAGGCTTATAAAGGCTTTGTGTAACTTACCCAGGGACATACAACTGGTTGAGTAGTAGGGCTCTTTCCACTGAAAATAACCAAGTGGCATTCCTGGATGTCTTGTTTTAAAGGGACGCTGACAAAACTATAGTCTGGGGCTTCCCTGGTGGCGCAGTAGTTGAGAGTCCGCCTGCCAATGCAGGGCACACGGGTTCGTGCCCTGGTCTGGGAAGATCCCACATGCCGCGGAGCGGCTGGGCCCATGAGCCATGGCCGCTGAGCCTGCGTGTCCGGAGCCTGTGCTCCACAACGGGAGAGGCCGCAGCAGTGCGAGGCCCGGGTACCACAAAAAAAACCAACCAAACAAACAAACAAAAAAACCCCCCCAAAACTATAGTGTATTTCATGGGTCATCTGCAGGAAGTGAGGGTCTACAAAATCAAGGCATTTAACTTATTTGGTGACCCTTAATGTTACAAGTTAAATATTTTAAATTATTAAAGAAAAAACCTAACATTCAGCATCAATCAAAGAGAGAATTAGTCATTTCATGAGGTTACCTGTTCATAATGTCTAGAAGTTAAATGACCACCTGTCACAAACAAGGCCCCCTTACAACATACGTTGGATCCTATATTCACTGAACATGAACAAATTAACACTTTTGCTCAAGGTCTCCGAAATTAAAAATTTCAGTAGTTTTTTTAAAAAATTTATTTATTTTATTATTTTATTTTATTTATTTATTGTTTCTGGCTGTGTTGGGTCTTCGCTGCTATGCGCAGGCTTTTCTCTGGTTGCGGCGAGCAGGGGCTACTCTTCGTTGTGGTGCACAGGTTTCTCACTGTGGTGGCTTCTCTTGTTGCAGAGCACGGGCTCTAGGTGCGCGGGCTTCAGTAGTTGTGGCACGCAGGCTCAGTAGTTGTGGCTCGTGGGTTCTAGAGTGCAGGCTCAGTAGTTGTGGCACACAGGTTTAGCTGCTCCTCGGCATGCGGGATCTTCCCGGACCAGGGATCGAACCCATGTCCCTTGCACTGGCA